GGCTGTGACAGCCATATCAAGGAGGGGTCTACCCTCAAATGATACGAGAACCTGTTTGAGAAAAACTCGGTGTAGCTTTACGGAAAATGACGAAGTTAGCCGAATAATGAAATATATCAATACAGGTTAATGCAATTGTTTTCGACATTCCCGAATAAGTAGCCTAATGGAACACCGCGAATTGTTTTGGCACTCAAACATTTCGTCCTATAAGGCTGTACTTTTATTGTAAAGAGGCTATGCGCAGGTTGACTACCGGATAAATGTTATCGTTCACGTAAATACATCTTTTGAGCTTCTAATCAGCGTCTGATGTTATCGACTTGTACAGCCTTTAGCCATCATGTCTGCCGCTAGGATTTACGACTCAATCAAGATTATACTCTCGCTGTAACTAAAGTGAGATTAAGTGACAGTATCTACTCAGATTTGATAAAATTAAATCAAGTAGATTAATTTCAAGCTTACTCGATTATGTGTAAGTACTTATCTTTAAATTAATACAAAGAATGGTATTGCTGAGTACATGCATGTGTTAATTGTTGTGGTTGGAGTTGTAGAACGCAGTGTCAGTGATGTAAATGCTGTCACCATTGTCCAATTCCGTTTCCTTCGACTCACAGTATTAGTCGTATCCTGTTGCCTTTGTTAAGATTTTGTTTGTTTGTTGTTGAACGCCACACTCAGCAATACTCCAGCTATATGACGGCGGTCTGTAAATAATCGAGTCTGGACCAGACAGTCCAGTGATTGACATCATGAGCACCGATCCACGCAATTGGGATACGATGACATGCATCAACCAAGTCAACGAGCCTGACTATCCGATCCCGTTAGTCTGTGTATTATTGATTTGGTTAAAGAAAATACAATTGAATATGTTTAACCTTATGACTCATTTACATTAAAACACCACCCAGGTTTGTTTCATTGTAAAACCAAAGAAATTTTACAAACCCAAGTCATGTCGCATGTTGAGATGCTAATCTAGTATTCACCAGAATCAGGTCCTTACCGACAAACAAACCATCCTTTTGCCGTGAACTCTTTAATATCAATCTATTTAGATGCACCTCGCAGGACATTTGAGCATGCATTCGTAGAGGCACATGAACGGATAATTGTTCTTTAGTCAGCCTCAACCACAATCCCACGGCCAAACACTTTCCTCAACAGAAACCGCTTATCACTGTAGGGGGTAGTGGGCAAATTAGGCACAAAGAGGCTTAGCCGGGGCGTTATGACCCCTAGGAGTGACCACCAGAAAATTAGGGGCAGGGTTACCTGGCCTAAGGGCTAATCCCTAATTCAGGGGCTTCAGCTACAGCGAAACTAAGTTAAAACGACCTCATACTCATTCAGGGCTCGTTTATTAAAAGGTACGTTGCCCGAGTCGAGATTTCCCCATAACTAATCTCGACCAGATTGTGCAGGTTCAGAGACCTAGTGTCTGAGATTGGGACTTGAGTTAGTAACCAGGTCTAGCGTGTATCAAAGATGCTGAGTGGAGATGATATCTACAAAACGTATTGTGAAGTGGACAACTGAGGAGAATAGGGAGGGGAGGGTGGTCGTCAAGCTTTCCAAAGAGCCAATCTCAACATCACATTCACAATTGGCGGAACTTCTTTCTGTAGAATCAGCTGTGGGGCTTGTGGGAAGGCGTCTAATCAGATGGAGGTGGCTAGTTCGAGTCACACTGATCGCGAACCTTCGATCAGTATCGAGGTAGAGGAACTCCTAATGTGACAGTTTTCTGGTGAGTTGTAAGACGCTGTGGTACGAGCATGGGCTGGTTTCACTTCTTTGGAACATGTTATGATGTTTTATAAATGAAGTCCAACACAGAGCATGTAACAAAGGTGAGGTGAGGTGAGGTGAAATGGGGTTTAACGTCGCGTCCAAGATTATTGCACTTATATAGCGACGTGCATGTACGTCTGTGTGTTTGTGTGGCTGCTTGTACTAGTCCGGACTGATGCCGATTTATAGTGCTAGCTCACCGAGGTACCATGCCGCAGTTTAACATGAATACCCCACTCAGACACAGTATACTGACTCCGAGCCGACCAGTCCTTGTTTTAGCCCGTTAATGCCGAGCACCAGACAGGGTAACAACAAGTACCATCTTTTAACGTCTTTTGGTATGACGCGGCCGGGGATCGAACCCCGGACCTGCCGCTCGTCGGGCGGACGCTCTACCACTAGACCACGGAGGCGGTAAGTAACAAAGGAGACGTAGAACGTTTGTGGATAACGCCGTCTTTATTCTTTGCCATGTCGTTTCAGGGCTACGTTTTGTCCCTAAGTGAATGATTTGTACGGATAAATATGAATCGTCAGCTCCAGAGAATAATCAGTCTCGATTATCTGCCGAAACATGCAATGCCATATATGACAAATGTGAATGGATCACTGGACAACCCATTCGAAGCAACTCTTTTATTGTTTGTAAGGGCATTTAAGGACTACTTGTTCCCCTCCATCGGGTGAATACTCACCAAACGGAGAACGGTCACCTAATGAAGGGACAAGAAGAAACCCTGAAACGTCGTTACAAAATGCTAATATACAGTCCAACTGTATAATATACAGTTTCCAACGTCTCTGTGCCACTCTAAAACTTCGGTTATTTCACATATACCTGTGTGTTTATTGACCTTATATATCTGCCCACGCCTCTTGGTTAGATCGTCACGATATGGCTGAAATAATGCCGATGTGACGTTAAATTTTAACTAACTCACTCTTGGTTGGAAGAAAACGAGCAGGTGTTTCGATTTCCAGGTCTCCACTGATTCTCCATCCATTTGTTCTAAACATCGTCCAGCCACATCATGTCAGTTCCCCATAGTTGATGATGAAACGTATCACAGATTTAAACTTAGTTTTGTGTATTTACTGTCTGCCAGACCCTTTTGTGTCAGTTGTCCTGTAAAATGAATGCTACATTTATGCTTCTTAAGAACCAAGTTGTTGGGAGGCCTATAACGTTAACACATAAGTCATGAAGCAATCATGAACGAAAACCTGATGGTATCTTACCGACCTACAGCCTCTTATAGGATAAGGGCTATACTTTTGCATTGTGAGGTTCGCTACGCTCTGAATGTTTATGAATAAATACATCATTATATTACACAATGTCATCATATGCCGCCTCCGATCGTGCACAAGGGGCTGTACAGAGTGTTGTGAATGATTTATTTTAAATTCAGTTGTTAGGAGTACATGAATGTTTGGAATGAATAAAATGTCAATAAAAACCCAACGACCAAGAGCCACAATTCACCTTTGTATCCCACGAGAAGAATGATGTTCACTTTGTGCAGGAAGTGGCTTTCTCTAATTGGTATGTAAAAAAATACACTTCAAAGGTATGCTCCGCATGATAGATTGTGACACAGCCATTATGGCTTGTCCTATGCATCTAGTTGGGCTCAATACAGGAGTATTCAGGACACTCGCCTGTATGTTTGGACTGGTCACATAGACCCATCAGCAGATAAAGTACGTCGATATATTGGAGGGCATGAAACCTGGTCATTAATAGACACAATGGATAGTAAAGCAGAACGGTATTTTATCAGTCAATATCCTTTTTCACATATGCCTTTCATGTATAACAAATACAACATAACGTTTTTCTTCCTGTAAAACGAACCTTTTTTATTTGAAATAATATTTGGTTATGTTTTGTCAGTTCATTTTCAGCGTGACTGCCATATTCATAGTATATGACAGGTGTTCATTTTACGAGACATTTTCTTGTATTTTTGATAATTGTACGACGTATCCTTAGTAGGGGATCCTGGGTGATGATTACAGCATAAGATATGATGTGTCCGATGCGTTGCCCATCAGTTGAGTGTACCAATGCTATATACTTTTCATATAATTTAGGAAACATTCTTAATTTTGTGTTTTATACAGTTTAGTGTTAATAGTGGCTTAAATAAAGAGTAAAACGCACCTGACATAGTGATTTGGGTTAGTTCATATTATTATTGTTAGTACATGGACGAGGGAGTCGATCTTATCCTTATTCGGGAATTAACTGTTAACATCATAACTACTTTATTTGGCATTTCAAAGTTTGTACGGTTAATTAGGGGATTGTTCTGTGGATATACAACAGTTACTACTTTAATAACAATGACTGCGACGTTTCAGTGTAGATACTAACAACGTTATCTATCCAGTGATGTACAGACATGTGAAGTAAGAAGGCTAAATACATGTGGATAATGGATGTTTGTACAAGGTTGAATGATAATATATTGATGTTTACACAACAAATACGGTTGAAGTATGAACTGTATCGATATTTATCCGAGAGAACAATTTTCGTCGTTAGGCGATGTTGAATTATGTTGTACTGATGAACATATTTTGGGTAATTTCGTGGTTGTTATGCAGCGATCTTTCGTTCACGTGATTCACCTTTTTATACAGTTGTGGGGGCGGTCGGGTAGCCTCGTGGTTAAAGCGTTCGCTCGTCACGCCGAAGACCCGGGTTCGATTCCCCACATGGGTACAATGTGTGAAGCCCATTTCTGGTGTCCCCCGCCGTGATATTGCTGGAATATTGCTAAAAGCGGCGTAAAACCATACTCACTCACTCACTCACTCATACAGTTGTGTGTAAGACATAGATCTATATTGCTTCTTTAAGAGTCAGAGTTTGCTGACAGCGTTCACCGTATGACAGCAGAAAACATTTGTGTTTATCTTCACAGAGCATTCTGATTGATGGGTCTTTTGCCTTCTAACTGTTATGGTTGTGTTGGTGTATCAGAAAAGACCACCATTACTTTCAAAATGCATGCACACGGAATGGATCAGTTAACATTGCGATCATATTTTAAAAGAAATAGCAATTGAAACACCACATGACACGATTTTGCCCCTGTATTCTCTGTAGGCAATAGATAAACGAGCAAGATCCCCCATGATTTAAATGGCTGTTAAATTTTATTTCTTGTTTGGTTCAATTTCAGTGCTGGTAATCGCATCTACTTACTATTCCCAATGGGCGGTCGGAAAGAAGACACCGCCAAAATGAAAGAAAAACGCCGCCCTCTGTCTATCATAGAGGAATTCGAAAACAAGGACGATATCTTATCTGCGCCAGACACCAGGAAGTTCTCTGTACCCAAAATTGTGATTACGTCAGAGAATGGCGAGCTCACGTCGGATCTCGCGCAACTGAAGAAGACTGCCACGAGACTTAATCTGAGCACTCGTAGGGAGAGTTACATCGCATGGCGAGCGGAACACATCGACAAACAGCACAACGTTCCTAAACCAGTCCTGAAGGTTGACCATGACGAAAGACTCACTGTCGAGCGTAAGAAAAAGATTGATGATGCTCTGGAATGGCTACGCAATGAACTTGTGAGTATAAGCACGACGTTTTTGACACATACGTGCATTTACGCTTCAGATGTATTCTATCCAATTATGGGGTTAACAGAGAGATTCTATAGTTTAGTTTGAACCACTTAAAAATAACACCCTTGGCGGATGTAAATGTATAAGCTCATACAATGCGTATACAAATAATAATACAAACTTGGAGTAAAGTAATTATGGTATAGGCGAGCGCCTTCAGACCCTACTTAAAGGATACAACGTTATACCCAGATAAATAACATAATCGCTCTCGCTCTCTCTCTCTTTCTCCCTCCTCCTCTCTCTTGCATTTACATGGCGTTGGTCGCATAACCTAGCAGGTTCTGACATTTCTTGACGGAAGCTGCAGAGAGGAAAATTATGTCTAAGTGAACATATGGGTCTGTTTCTGTTCACAGAGAAACTTTATGTCAAGCAACGTCATGTGAATATATCACCTACAGCAACACATTGCCTGATTTCTTGACAGCAGCTGACTTAATAATTTTTTATGTAACATATATATATATATATATATATATATATATATATATATATATATGTGTGTGTGTGTGTGTGTGTGTGTGTGTGTGTGTGTGTGTGTGTGTGTGTGTGTGTGTGTGTGTGTATACATACATACATACATGCATACATACATACATACATACATATATATATACATACACGTGGTGATTTCTGTCTTCAGAAACTGACTTTATATCCAACACATACTGTAATACATATATTTGTTTTTGCGTTGGCAGCAAGAGATGCGATCCCAGGATCAACAGATCGCCCGACGCTTGTTGTCTCTCCGTCACGACATCCACCAGCTTAAGTTGCAAAGGAGCTGCGCGGAGCATCAGGAGCTGCTGGACGATGCGCAGTCGGAACTAGAAGAGCTTGAGGAGCTGCCCGATGTCCTCGACCTTCCTGCAGGTTGTCTGAACAACAACCCCTATAAACACCTGGGAGTCACTAGAATGAACCTCAGTACAAGACGTTTCTCAACTTGCTAAATATTATGTGTCCATATAACATATTTTGATGAAATGACTTTTGCATCGGTCCTTCCGGATGCGATCTGAGTAGTCTGTGACCTTACGTGGTCCTGTGGAGGAGTCCTGTGGAGGTGTCCTGTGGAGGTGTCCTGCGGAGGTGTCCTGTGAAGGTGTCCTGTGGAGGTGTCCTGTGGAGGTGTCCTGTGAAGGTGTCCTTTGGAAGTTGTGAGCGATCTGTGTTCTCGACGGGAAGGTTTGGTACAGACTGTTCTCTTGTCAGGACGTCTTGGTAGGCCTGTAACCTTGGACAGTCTGTGTTCTTGAGAGGAAAACGTGGATAATATGTGTTCTTGACAAAAGCCTTGGATAGTTTTTGTTCTTGACAAAAGCCTTGGATAATTTGTGATCATGACATGAAGCCTTGGAGTTCTTGTTCTCTCGACAGGAAGCATGGGATAGTCTCTGTTCTTGACGACAGGAAGCCTTGGACAATCTGTGTTCTTGGCAAGGGCAGCGTGTGACGATGGATGTTGTCGACTGTCCCCTGAAGATATTACAGCCAGGAGACAGCGTCGTGTAAGGCTTCCCAGCTGCTGCGATGGATGAAGCAAGTTTCTCAAAGTGATGTGTAAGGCAGATTAATCTGATTCCAAGGTGTTGCGAGGCTTTAACCTACATTTCACCTGTGATCCTACCTTGACACTAATGGAGTTCACCTTTGACCTCCATGTAGATGGAAGGGGTGATATGTTTCCATCGTGACATGACTACTTCTGTTTGTAATGCGTGTCGACAGTGTTCAGATACGTCATAAACATGTCACGTACATGATGACTGTATACACACAACGTCACACCACTACGTCAGAACCTCGACACTAGTGTGGTCATAGTTGATATGGATGGTGTGCACATATACATTGCCTCACTGTCATATGTGGACATAGTTAAGTAACCATACATGGTGGCCCATAGTGTCAGTGCATCTCGGCGTTCTTCAGAAAGTGTCGGGGGAAGCAAACCCTTGCAGAAGAATTTAATCAGAAAGACATAGTATTTCATCCCTTTGGAAGTGTTTCATGTTTCATATTCAGTGAGTGAGTGAGTGAGTGAGTATGGAGTTACGCCGTTTTTAGCAATATTCCAGCAATGTCTCAGCGGGGGACACCAGAAATAGAGCTTCACACATTGTACCCTTGTGGGGAATCGAACCCGGGTCTTCGGCGTGACGAGCAAACGCTATAACCACTAGGCTATACCGCCGCCCCATTTCATATTCAGAGAGTCCGTACCATATTCCAGTCAGTACAAACTGTAACGCTTTGTAAACATGCACGTACCTCAACACACTGTTGTACATAACGACAAGAGGCTCAATCGTGGTTCTGCTGAGTATTGAACATCGCTGATAGTATTTATTTCAAATAGTGTGATGGAAGGTTACAATGAACTCTCCAGCTCTCTTTTAACTGCACACCTTTAATTTCCCTGGTTTGGGTAGACGCTTGCTCCAAAACTTGTCATCTCTAGTATACAACCGAAAAATAACAATAACGAAAACCACGTGATACCAACTGTCCAATCAAATATCTCGATATTCTTGAAAAGGATATTCCGAAAATTACCCTCTTATGTTTGATTGCACAAAGGTTTATTTGTGCTGCACATTTGCCTGGATGACCAAGCAGAGTCTTTGATGACAATTCACGTGAAGTTCATGATCTTTAAAATCCACGAATAATAGCAAATTTAAGGACGTCGATCATAGCTGTTCATTCAATCTGTCTGTCACTGTCTGACTTCGGATAGGGTTACCGCCTTGTGTAACAAGGTGATGAATTCAAATACGGTCGACTTTTTCAAAGTCATGGCAAGTTGAAACCGTTGGTTAATATGATCATCGAGAACTGCTTCTGGGACAATACTGAGTCGGGTTAGAGACAATGATTGATGTTGTCCACTGGATCCGGCTTATCGCACACCCTTGCCTTGAAGGGACACTCGGCAGTCAGGGCAAGTTGGAAGCAAATTTATTCAAAACCATTTGTGTCTAACGTAACAAATGTTATATTTGGGATAACACTTTCTTACTAAAGTACAGATTCTCGTACTTTTGTTTTGGTTGAGTCCGGGATTCGAACCCACACTTGCCAGAGTGAGGCACCTAATCGCCAGCACACAAAGTCAGCGATCTAACCCCATCAGCCACCGAGGCTTCCACAAAAATGAAAGTCCGACAACTGGTAGTCTAGATCACGTACCTTGAGTACCCCTCTGACAAGTGTGAATTGGCACGGCTCTCACAGTCTGAGATAGATATCAGTGTTGTATTTCAATACTTACTCTTATTACACAGAAACACCGGCTCTGCTACTCATATGATTCTGCATAACATCGTCTAAGGACTGGGTACTAGCATCCCCCCTTTAAGCTTAAGGTTATTGAGACAATCGTATTGGACTATATGTATATCGTTTATACCTGTTATGTTCGACTGTGTCTACATTTGTCATCACTGAGCATACGGGTACTTTGATAACCTCATTATTGATGTTCTAGAATGTTCAGAATACTTTCTACTCCAACATATTCCTCAGATAATGTTATCACTCTTTACCAATGTTTGCAATATTTCAACAGGCTGGCGGAAGGAATTCGTTATGTTCATATCAGCGTCAATAATTAAGCGGCGCACAAACAAGTAGCTAAAGAAACGTGAAGGGGGCATATTTACGGATGATGAATAAATAAATTTGTACCGCAGCCAGCTTTATTCCAGCTATATGACGGCGATACAATCGATTATCAACAAGAGTTGATGTCGTCAACGACAACCAGTTGCATCGGGGTACCTGACATAATCGGATAGGTAACATTGTGACATCCAATCCACAGTTTAGCCGACTTCTAAACCAACATGGAGCACGAGGGCCATATTCTGTTGCGGACTCAACATGGAGAGACTAACATGGAATACTGGAAATCCCAAATGTTGTCGCGAAGTAATTGAAAAAAAGGAAAACAAATATCATCACCACTTCGACACACAACTCGAGAATCAGCGCGTATTTTACTGACGCTTCTCTGATTTAGGTATTTACAGTTACAGTTCGTACCCCGTGCTTCCAGGGCAACATTAAACGCGATCAATCGATTGTAAATATTTTGTTTAAATTGTAGAGGACAATATACTTACTAATCCCATCATCCCTCTTCATGACAGGTTTCTTTATATAAGTCCATTGTCCTGAAACAAGGTTTGAATGTGGCACAGTTATCTGAAATAAAACCCAACCCAACCCAAATCAGATTTACATGTGTAAGTTCAGAGCGATACCACTGATGGGTTATAGTGTACAGGTATATATGTACAAGCAATGAAAGACAAGAAGCGGCACCTGTATTTATTGATGAAATGATGTTATTTTATGTAAGAAAAATTTAAGACGTGAGTTGATACGATATAGACGAAATCATCGATATATATACAATCATTCCACATACTTTCACGTGATAGTTATTTTGTAATAATCTGTACATATGTTATATACAATGTATATTTATGTAGTTATATATTGTACATATGTATTAATAAATAGAACCATGGAATCAGAAGGACAATAAATATGTTTTATATGAACTATTGATCGGGAATTATGTTTGCTTGGTTGTTTTGTTTTTAAAAACCTCTCTGCCGCAACATTAGCAGAGTGAGTGAGTGAGTGTGTGTGGTTTTACGCCGCGTTTAGCAATATTCCAGCATTATCACGGCGGGGGACACCAGAAATGGGCTTCACACAGTGAGTGAGTGAGTGAGTATGGTTTTACGCCGCTTTTAGCAATATTCCAGCAATATCACGGCGGGGGACACCACAAATGGGCTTCACACATTGTACCCGTGTGGGGAAATCGAACCTGGGCCTTCGGCGTGACGAGCGAACGCTTTAACCACTGGGCTACCCCACCACAACAGACATTAATGTGGTTGCACACAGGCGACCAATGGACTTCCACAACATCACACCATACAGCTCAAGTTGACTATAGGGAAACTCAAAAGTCATCCATCTTGTCATGCAGACTTACGGACACAATCACTACACAATGTACATGCAGATCCTGATAACATAGGGGGCACGACTGGCCCAGTCGTCTAAGGCGCCGCGATTCGCTGTGCAGAGTTGCGTCCCTTGGGCACGCCAGAAACCTATGATTGTGGGTTCGAATCCCGGTTCGCCCCGATTATGTTTCTAGGTTTGTCAGCACTATACCCGTGCTCGTGGGTTTCACCGAAGTGGTAAACGTCTGAGACCTGCATCACTTCGGGCTTTCCTCCCACATTAAGCTGACAAGCCGCGATATGACTGGAATACTGTTAAAAGCGGCGGTAAACCCAACTCACTCACTCACTCACGCACTCCTGATAACACAACACAATTTCATATACTCTGCAAAAAACAAAAAAAAACAACAACAAAAAAAACAAACGCAAAAGTGATCTTAGATGTATAATTTATATATCATATACATAATCAACAGAATGGTAATCGATCGTTCACAATTGGTACACATCATTGTCATTGACCAAGGCACACATGGGACAATAGTATTCAAGATGAAGGTCATCTGCTCTAAATATCTTGTATGGCCACCATTAGAGTCCAAAACTGGCTGCTTCCATGGGACGACCATGCCAGTCAGATCACGAAATGTGGTCTGGGGAATGTTCCTGTACTGCTTGTGCCAAATGTCGCAGGTTCTGAAACACAATGCCATTTAGAAAGTGGTCAAATGTAACAAATGTTATTTTTGGGATAACACTTTCTTAGTAAAGTACATATTCCAGTCCTTTTTGGGGTTGACTCCAACCCGGGATTCGAACCCATACTGCCAGAGTGAGGCACCTAATCGCCAGCACACAAAGTCAGCAATCTAACCCACACAGCCAGCGAGGCCGGAAGCCTATGGGAGGGGACTCAACCCAATGAAGTACCAGAATCTGTACTTTACTAAGGAGATGTTATCCCAGATATAACAATTGTAACAGGTTCTGTGGTTGTTGCTGGCGTGCTCGCAGTCGTTGGTCCAGTGCATCCCTTAAATGTTCGATGATTGGGTTTAAATCTGGAAGCCTGGAGGTCCATGGCAGGATCTGGATGTTGTGAAATGCTGCTGTCAGTCTTGCCGTGTGAGGTCGGGCGTTGTCTTGTTGGAAAATGACGTTCATTTGTTGCACAATGGGAAGGACGTGTGGCCGAATAATCTCTTCCGTGTAACGTTATGCCGTTAATTTCCCCAGAACTTGCACCAAGTCTGTTCTACCAGTGTAGGTGATGGCTGCCATCATCATCACACGATCACCACCAAATCTGTAATTCCCGTAATCAGTTTCTTGTTTAACGATCCCCGCGACGCCTGTAAACACGACGTCTTCCATCCGCCCGGAGAAGCATCAAACGTGACTCGTCACTTGTCTCCATCGCAGATGTGGCCATACTCTGTGACCTTGACACCATTGACGTCGCAGCCGACGATGCAGGTCCTTCACCTCGCATCTGTCGCCAGCGCGTAAACAGTTCCTCACTGTCTGAGCTGATATCCTTCGCAATCCTGGTATTGCAGTAGTTGTAGAGGTGGCCGTAGTTGTTCTTTCACGTCACCTTATGAATCAGCCTATGCTCTAGTAGTGATACGCGGTCGACCGGATCTTGGAATGTCAATTGCTGTCCGATGGGTCTGATAACGGTTGTACAGCCTTGAAATGGTGCTTGGTGCCACATAGAAAAACCAGGCTACAGCTGAAGGTGATTCTCCTGTTTGCAATCAGTCGATGACGTTGATTGCGTTTGGCTTCCGTAAATCATGTTTTCGCTGTCCGCTTGCTGTAAGATCGCACTGGCATGCAAATGAAAACCAACGTTTTTACAGCACAAGTGATGTTGCACGAGCATGTCATGTTGGTGTGTTTCGGCGCCAGGCTCTCACGTGGTTGTGTTTTTGCGATTTTCCCATCTTTTCACCAAATTCTTGCAGTACCTCATGCTTCCCACTCAAATCAATCCCAATCCATGCAGTTTTGTTTTACTTGGTATGTATGTTGACACTCTTTTTTTTGTAGAGAAAACATTTATTTTATGTGTTTGTTGTTTAACGCCGCACTCAGCAATATTACAGCTATATGACGGCGGTCTGTAAATAATCGAGTCTGGACCAGACAATCCAGTGATTGACATCATGATCATCGATCCACGCAATTGGGATACGATGACATGCATCAACCAATCAGCGAGCCTGACCATCCGATCCCGTTAGTCGCCTCTTACGACAAGCATAGTCACCTTTTACGGCAAGCATGGGCTGATGAAGGCCTATTCTACTCCGGATCTTCACGGCATGTAAATAATCGAGTCTGTACACACAAACCAGTATATATAACGTGAGCAACGTGCGATTACGTGCCAAATCACATAACCATCCGATCCCCGTTGTAGTCGGCTATTACAGCAAGCGACTAATTCTGAACCAGAATCTCCACAGGGATACATCATGTGACACCAAATCATAAATACGCATGAGGAGCAGTAGCTGGTAAACATATACGTATATATTCATACCTACATACGCTCTGGATCTAACAAAAGTACTTGTCAAGCTTTACACTAACACTTCAGTGACTTTATTGAACATTCGGGACCACTCGGCATGTTCCGTTACCTCGCGCAGCATTGGAGTAGTGATATAGCATGATTTTACTGTAAACTGCATATATCCCTACGCATATACATGTAGTTCATACGACATGATGACCGATTTTGAGCATTTTTTTAGAGTTAGAAATTAGGTTTACAACTTGGTATAAATCTACATTTTTATAAGGGATATGACCTCCGTCAGATGGTAACTTGTGATAGTCACCTTAACTGTTGAAACTAGCGAATCCATTTCCAATGTGGATTCCTTTTAAAGCAGACGGAGATGACTTTTGGGTTGAGATGAAGCGCGTGTTCGTTGCACACTCAGGGGACATAACTCTTTGATGACAGGCATCGATGTAGGCGACAAAAACTCCTTCTGTCGGCAGTGTCTTGGAATATTAGGCTTAAACTGTTTGTTTAACATATCAATGAATGGATAGTAGTGCCTTCATACTAACACGATGCACGTCAAGTCGGTTGCCTGGAACACCCGGATGTGATACCCGGGCTTGCCGGTGTTGACAACAGAATTGATGTGCTCAGTGTTATTTTCCGTCACATTGTGTATCAACCACCCGGTTTCCGTCTTCTATTTCGAGATGCTTACTTGTCAGATTGTCCATTCACGTCCTCGCATCGACAAATAAAACCTTTAAACTCACGGTTAATGTTTATGTAAAGAACATTCACCACACGGGGACTAAACTGCAAGGCAAAATAGAAGCGACAAAACCCTTTCCATATTCAACAGAAATATCTGTCAGAAGCAGAGTCGATTGTAGGATTCCGACTGTATCGTGACCATGTGTTTCCGGGTCCCCCCACTGGACCGACACATATTGTTCCCCAGTTTAGAACCCGGGAACCTGGAATAATGCCTAAACAATGGGCATGCGGGGTATAGTCCATTCCACCTGAGATACTGTGATATACTCTAACAAAACACGGTGAAGTTACAAGATTTGTTTACACATATTCTTAATTGACTTTTACATCCATTTGCACATGACACTGATTCATCAATAAATTTAAAGTCCAGATACACTAAGATTCACTAAAAATAATAAACATTACAACATTTGTTCATGTATATTATACATGTACTGTTCATCTATTGGCAGAATAAAAAGCCTCACACCTGTAGCGTGTGTCGTGTTCTTTGCACAGACGCTGCCCATGAAAGAAATATATCCTCCACAAACCTTCCCCGGGGTGTTGCAGGTTAAGGTATGAGCGACCAGTAGTCCCTTAAACATTCTTGCAGGTGATAGAAAGGTCTGGGCGGTGATGAGTAGAAACGTTTT